CAGGCCATCAGGAACCACACCTGCTCTGGAAAACACTCCAGTTGATGATAATATCCTGTCTCATGATAACCTTAAAAAATACAACCTTTCTGGATTATTATCAGGGCTGTTGTGAAAGGCAGATTGATTGTTATTCCCCAAAGATCAGTGAGGCTTTCGAATTTCTGACAAGCTTATACGTGTATGATAAAAACCTTAGTTACTCGACCTTGAATACTGCATATGCAGTGCTTTCACCACCATTTCCAAAACACTGGGACTACTTTGGTTTACTTCCCCTTACAGTATGTTTTATGATAGGACTGTTTGAGAACCGAGCACCCTATCCAAGGTACAGGGAAATACATGCATGGGATGCATTAACAGTTCTTAAATATCTGGCCACCCTTACTCCACTAGAACAATTGTCACTCAAACACCCGATATTAAAGCTGATAATGTTGCTCTTACTGGATACGGGTCAAAGAGGACAATCAATCCACCTGTTGAATATATTGATGCTATGAACCGCACAGATTCGTCATTCACATTTCAACCTACACTGTACAAGTCATACCAAAACAAACAAACCTAGATGCCCAGGGTCTCCTATTGTAATCCAGGAGTTGAAGCTTAACCTGCAACTACTGTATGCCCACTGCATACACTAAAAGCATACCTTCAATGCACCAAAACCTTAAGAGAATCTGAACAACAGTTCCTTGCAACGGGGACTACCCAGGAATCAATGTGACACCTGTCATCACTCCTGCCTTTGAGAAAGTTGTCGACAGCCTTCATGCTCAGAGAATTTTGGTGAACGAAGGTGGTTCATGTACAGATGCCCTAATTATGATTCAGCATAAAGTGTGCAAGTTTCTGGATGATACCAATTGCGTGGCTGTTACGGTGTTCACTATGGGTTTTAGCAAGGCATTTAATTCTCTAACAAACTTAAAGGCATCCTACCAAACCTATATCTTGTCAATTGCAGTACAGAATGCAAAGGTGGTACATTGTATATAACAATGTTAACTGTGATTGGAAGCATGTAAATACATTGTCAGCGTGCAAAGAAAGTCGTGTACGATAGCCCGAGGCTAGTGGATTTTGCTGTCAAGCTAGTGAATTTTGTTCTGAACTTGCGCGACGGGCAAGTGCTGTTTTTTAGGGAATTTCAAATTACAGAAGGATTGTAATCAATCCTGCTAATCAAAAAGGGTTTGGGTCTAGCTGAAATGACTTGTGGGCTAGTACATGCTAGCTACAGCTTGCCCGAATGGCAGGCTGTAAAACTGACTTTCTTTGCACCCTGATTGTAATGGTACTACACAAGGAAGTGAAAGCAGAGCATATTAATTTAGTACCTTTCTGAATGACTTAGAGATTACTGTGGATGGAGAGACTGTACGTTTTAAATATGCTGATGACTGCACAATAATGTTGTTTCTGTATTTGCGAACAATGACTCAGCACCTGAACTTATTAATACGTTTTCAGAGTGGTCTAGTAGCAATGTAACAAAATGTAATCCCTGTAAGTGTAAGGAGCTTGTTTTCCGAAAGAAGAGACATAACAACTCCCACCCATGGGGATTTTTAATCAAATAAACTTTATGTACTAACGATACAACACTTTTGATTGTATTTGTAGGAGGTGATTTCTCTTCTCACACCCACTGCTTTAAAAAATGGCCTTGCGCATACACTATGCTATCTCATGTGATCTCCACACTCTGTTCATCACATTATAGAATTCCCATCAAACTTCAACTTACAGGTTAAGTCTTGTTTAATTTTCCAATTCTGATTGAACTTTTACATCAAGGGGACAGTGTCCTTTACATAAATCTGCACGTGCGTACTTGAGAAATTGGTAGGATTTGTCTTAAAGATTGTCTGTTACATATGTACAAGTAAAAGCCATTTGTAGTGTCATGACTCGACCTTTTATTGTGCATCACAAAAAATACAGCACTTTGACTAGTGGAATGTGATAAATTCAAAACATTCTTGAAATGTTCAGGCAATCCATCAAAAACTGGGGAAATTCATGCAAACAGATTAATTTTGTTGCCACAAAGAATGGACCCTGACTTATTATCATTCCTTTCTAGATTTACCTGAAAAGTTTTTCCATTCAAAAGCTTTCTTTTTTTTTGTTTACTCTGTATATATAAATGTCAAAAAAAGTTTATCAAAGACTACTTTAATGTGTTGCTCAACTGGGAAATCATTGACCTAACCATGTCCAGGTAAGCTGAAGAAAACTATTAGCAGCATGTGTGTCGCAGTATCAACAAGAATTTTGCAGGAAATTTACCCCTAGTGAACAGATCCAGTATTGTTTACAATGACAAACATTAAAGACAGAGAGAACAACTGAAAGCAAATAAATGCTGACTAAAATTGTTTGTTCCATTCCGTGCTCATGATTGAAGAAAGAGAAAAACTCAAAAGTCAAGGGAACCGATCTATATGTAACTGCCTCCAAGCAAGAGATTACAAGATGGAGATGGTCAAACAGGCTACCTGATGATCTCTTTCAGAGACTCTCGTGGAGGTACTTGATCAAACCACTGCTGTTTTCTATCCAGTAATCTGTGCGGTAGTTAAGACAATTGAATTCCATTGCTTAACCTATTTCAGTGTGTGCTGCTGAACGCAGTTTCATCTCGATGAAAAGAATAAAAACTTTGCTATGTATTACGATGAAAGATGAGTGATTTCATCCTTGGCGATTTATAAACACAAAGAACTGATGTTAATGTTGATAACAGTCATCATCCCTAAATTTGCACAACAAAAGGGAAGGTGCCTCAGCTTGTGTTTGTAAACATTCCAGTACCAGCTCAAACAAGAACGTTTTAAAGGATCTTTTACTGTCACAATCTGTTGTAAACAAGCCTGTAAACTGCTGCTCTGCCCCTGTATATTCTGAGTTTGCTGTAAAAGGTTTTAATGGTGTAAGATCAATCGTCACACATTCCTACGTTCTTCACTGAATGATTTGAATGTGTTGGTGTTGTAAAAGCTTGACAAACGAAATCTGTTTCAGCAAATCAGATGAATGAAGTAAAAAAACGTGCACTTACTGTCAAAATGTTTGTTGTTGCAGTTGTTTTTTCAGGCATATTATTCATAAGATTACATGATTACATGATTTTTCTTGGGTAATTTTGAATAAATAACCACTTGCAAATTTTTAAAAATTTACCCATGCTTGTTTATTGTACAAATATTTGGGTGTATGGAAGTGGAATTTTCGCTGACACAACCCAGCTGGCATATTGATTATTTAAAAAGTAGGCTAAGTTAAATAGGCACACAAAAGTACGCCACGAAAGGCTCCATAGAACTTGACTTTTAGTGCGTTCAGAGGACACAAGCCTAAAAAACACCTGGATCACTCACCGTTTCTGGGAAACCAGTCTAGATAGCCTCAGAAAAAATCGTCTCGATAAAATGGCTACTCGATCTGCCAAGAAGACGTGACTCGTTTAAAAAACAATCCTCCTTATTGAAACGAGGCTCGTTCAAAAAACGAGTCCTTCTGAAAACGAGACTCGTTTAAACCAGACTCGTTCTGCACATGAGACTCGTGGAAAAACGAGACTCCTTTGGAAAGACTCGTTTAACGAGACTCGTTTAACGAGACTCGTTTGGAAAGACTCGTTTAACAGAACTACTCGTTCGGAAAGCGAGACTCGTTAGGAAAACGTGACTCGTTCGTGAAACCAGACTCGTTTCACCAGACTCGTTCGTGAAAGACTCGTTCGTGAGGGGAGGCTAGTTAATCAATTAATTAATTTATCCCTTTTATTTCACTGTAAATGGTAAAGTAATGTAATTATCAAGAAAATTATTTTACTCGCAGTCCTGCGTTGACCAGAAACTCCGGCTTTGAGTAGTCTTAACTTTGAAAAACTCAGATTAAGGACCATCAACTTCATATATTGTTGTTGCTGTATTTGTTGATGTCAATGTAGGCAGGGGGCAATGAATTCTTCTTTCATTTAGTGTGGAATGATTTATTTCAAATGTTTTCTTTTTTTCAGCATCTAACTAACAAATTGATAGGCCAAATATTACTAACGTAAATAATAAAGAGTATTGATGTCATTATTCTCGAGTTGTACCTTTTGTGTACTTAACAATCAGTTTAATTTCTACCACCACTATCTGTTTCATCCACAGAAATATTTTTTTACGAACAATAACCAACAAATATGTTTTTTTTTTTCAGTATCTATTGATTGGCCAAATATTACTATCGTAAATAATAAAGAGTATTGATGTAATTATTCTCGAGTTGTACCTTTTGTGTACTTAAAAATCAGTTTAATTTCTATTACCACTATCTGTTTCATGCTCGGAAATTTTTTTTTTTTTTATCAACAATAACCAACAAATAGGTTGCCCATAAGGTATAATAAAGCGCTTCTACCATTCTATCATTCTATCTAGAATACACAACACGATCTATAATTGATGAAGAACACGATGTCAATGATTAGAATAAATGCAAAAATTTGCCAATCGAAATATTGAGTCTGAAAATAACACAAACGTCTAAAAGGTAGATAGCGCCACTGAAAACAACATTATTCACGGCTAGAAATGATACTATCTATTAACAATGATTTGTTCCACCATTTGCGCTCGACGGTATATATTTTGTCTATTCAAAAAATGCAGGGTTAAGTTTTTTTTAAAATTATTCACAATACACTACAATCTGCGACAAAATTCGTTGAGCCGCTTTTTTCTGCCGCACTTAAAAATGAACTTAAAAATCTACCACACCTCGAAACACAATACCACTATAACCCTATACCCTTTCCCGCATTCAGACTCATTTATCAGGGGGGGGATTGCTCAAAGTAAGGGAATCGAGGCTAAAACTATTCAGAAATGTTGTACTCTTAATGACAATGCTTTGGCTACTGTGTCGCAGAGTGTAGGCCGATCTTTAGTTCAGACAATATTCCGTTCTATGTTATCCTCAGGAAAATTCACTCGTTATTCTATTTTAAAACATATATTATAAATGATTAAAAACTTTATTTCAATCTCCCCCTCCACATCGACCCAACGGTTTACTTGTGAAAGGTTACACCCCCACATCGATCCCTCTCTCATTCTTGTGGGTGGTAGCTTTTTGATGGTTTCGTTTTCCTTTCCTGGAGAAATCACCATCCTATGAAGATAAAAACCAAAAGGTTATGAATTGCCATTAATCTTCTATGTGTTATATCGCATGTATACCTGTTTACTTCATATCAGTAATATCCGTTCTTGACAAGTCGTGTCAATCGAGCTATTGCACTCGCGTAATTTTAAATGGATTTTAACTGATCATTATTGGTATAAGCTCATCATAAGAGCAAAACCCTCCCTCGACAATTTTCATTACCTGACTCCAATCTACTTTCTGACTTTTTGGGGGGCCTAAGAGGTCTGTCAGGTGCTGTCCATTCGCATGAAAAAAATTTACACGCCAATATTTCACACCAGCTCCTCTCACCTTATCTCTACTGAAACGGGAGATGAGGCAGAAACCAGCTGTACAAACAAATCCAAGTTTTTTGTGAATACTGCCCTCCAAGTGTATCCGTGGGATTTAATCTCGCCACTCGTGAGAGGTCGTTCTTCTGTCACGGTGGCGAGAGAGGCAGGAAGGTCGTAAATTCTCCAGGAGAATGACACAACCATATCTTCCTTTTCTTCCACTTGTTCCATCACAGTTTCCTGTAGGAGAATTTACAGTACAACTCAGTGTCTTTTCTCCTCTTTTTTTTTTTTGTTGTTGTCATTGCTTTAAACATTAAAGTGGAATCACGCTCTACGGACGCCTGCTTAACACGGACACCCCGATATTAGAGACCATTTCGTTTGTCCCGTCGAAAAGTTCACATTGTCGCCATAAAATTAACCCTCTTATAAGTTACTGTAATTTTAGTCCGTGAACATTGAGTTATTAGATGAACGTACGGTTTCCATAGATTCAACTCGTCAGTTGCAGTTACAATTAGGTATAAAGTTATCCTAGAGTATGATAAATAGCCGTCAGGTTTCCATAGCCTAAAATAATGTCACAGTCAAAGTACAATTTTTAAACGTTTTGTTGCCGTTAAAATGTCTGCTCTAACCCTTTTTCATTTGAGAGCCTTCTGGCCACCCTGATATTACGGACACTTCGGTATGTCCCCTTGGTGTCAGTATTAATGGTGTTCCATCGTATTTTTTTATCGATATCAGTTGAGAGACTTACCTTTCTTTGTATTAGGCCCAATAACCGCTGTATCTCACCATGCTGTAAGTCATAGTGTGATCTCGCCGCATCGTACACGTGAGCACCCATGTCCCTCCTGTGTTTTATTTGTTTACAGCCTCTCACTTTGCACTGTAAGGCCTTCAATGGGCAATTGTGCTGGTGCAAACACACATGGGCTCTGAAAAACATTACCAACAGTCACTAATTATTTTGGGTTATACGAACTTTAAGACTAATTAATTAAACCATTCGGAGCTTTGCAACCCGTATTACTTATTGCTACTGGTCCAAGAAAGTATGACCGTACTTCACTCTCGCTTCAGCCGGTTCACTGCCTATAAGTGTGCTGTATGCTGTATTATTGTACTTTTGTCCTTGTACTTCATGCCCGAAAAATCCCATTGGAGAGGTGTTAATGGGTTTATTTCTCAGTATTGAGTCACAAATTCTATTAGCTCAGACGTTGTAATCAATGTACAAAGATTCCTGTAACAGATGCGTCTCATTCTCGCCTGAGGAAATTCTAAAAGGAATTCTTTGAATTTTTTTTGACTAGTTTTTAGAAAAAGACCACGGTGTTGTGAACTGTCAAGATGTGCAGATCGTGCAAAAGTTCAGTTCAAGCTTTACCATGGTCATTTGGTTAATTGTAAGGGTCTTACCTCGGCAATTTCATGCCACATCCGAGTGGGCAGTCTATTTTTGAATAGAAACACTCCCTCCGTTCGTGTTGGGCTAAACGACTTCTCGCTACTTCCTTCCTGCAGCCAGGGCAATCTACTAGAGCCTTTTCGCAGCTATTGCTGTGCTCGTCCATGTCCTCGCGCAAGGAAGAGTGGTGGCATCCAACGTTAGGGCATTTTACGACAGCTTTGGGACAGCCCTTGCCATGGTGCCTTGCTTGTTCCAGAGTGCCTTTCCATATGCAACCAGAATTGCTACAATGCATACTCAGATTTCTTGTTAGTGCGTCAAGGCTGACGTTCAGATGCAATCGATCGCGATGGAAAGTTTCGCGGCAAACGGGGCACGGAGCTGTGTTTGATGCCGCGTTGTCGGAGAGAGAGACGACAGAGTGCAAGCACTTCATGCACCCAGAATGTCCACATGCCAGACTAACTGGTTTTATCATCACTTCAAAGCTACAATTAATACAGATTCAATGATTATTAGTATCACGGCGCGTAGTGTATCCTTTTTCAGATAAAATAAGACTTCTCGCCGAAATTATTATCTTTTACTGGCGTCCACGGCCATTTTTTCTTCGTTTCAGCTGCAGCTTGTATTCCTATAATCGCAAAAACAAATTTTCTAATCAACGTCGGAAGATAAATTCTGTAAATGAACCTAATTGTTGTATTAAGTATTAAGTTACATCTGTCAACTAAGACAAATAAAAAGGCAAGCCCCTTCTTTTTCGGCAGTGTTCGGAAAGTTTACAGTACTATTACTCCACTTCCCTTTAAAAGTTAGGCAATTACGTCGCTAAGACCTAAGAATTCCTCGAAAGACTTACATGTATTGTTGATCCTCGTGGTACGGTTGTCCTTCGGAACGCGCTTCAACATGCAATGAAGAATGTCAACCAGGTCTTGAAACTTTTCACTCCACCGAAAGCATGAAGGGCTTTCTGAGCATCTCTTGGTTATGTAGTTGCATTTCCGCAATGGGTTTGAATTCCGAAACAATGAACTGCTCACCAACTTTCAGCTGTTTGCGTGAGGCTAGTTCAGGTGCCTGTGCATAGCACGATAACAAAACGAGAAAACACTGGGGACGAGCGCCACGTAGTGAGAGCCTGCATTAAACACACTCAGCGGATTTACCTTCAACAAAGGGTAGGTACTTCATATATGATTATTATTATGTACCTAAACTTACCTATTATTATTGTACTATACATAACAATATACCCACACCTATATATCACCATACACACCTATACATTCCCATACACCCCTATACAACACCATATACCCCTATACAACACCATATACCCTTATACAAAAACTCCTATACATCACCATACACCTCTATACAACACCATACATCCCTATACATCACCATACACCCCCAAACATACACATACACCCCTATACATCACCATACACCCCTATGCATCACCATACAACCCTATACATCACCATATAGCCCTATGCATCACCATACACCCCTATAGATCACCATACACCCCTATGCATCACCATACACCCCTGTGCATCACCATACACCCCTATACATCACCATACATCCCCATACATCACCATACACCCCTACACATCACAATACACCCCTATACATCACTATACACCCCTATACACCACCATATACCCCTATACAACACCATATACTCCTGATGTGAAGTATATATGAAATTGTCGGACCCGAAATGGGGTTCCTGTGGTGCGTGTGTGACGTAAGCCGAACCGGTCGGGACCGGTTTTGGCACTAGAACACGAGGAGAGAAAGAGCGAGCGATCTTGTGAGTACGAGCGAGTTTATCAAACGAGAAACGAATAAATTTTGTTGAAATCATCGCAACAAAAGGTGGCGACCCTGCCAGGACACCTGTGATTCGAGAAAGTAACAGCGAGCGGCGAGAAGTGAGCGACGAGAGGAATTTTACATGTAAACACAGCGAAGAAACACCGAAGTCAACAACATGAGCGCCGAAGGCGAAATCAAAACAATGCAGGAGAAGATTCAAGGTAAACTGAAAATGCTTGAATTTACAGCGGGAGATACAGCGAAAGTAATCGAGACCGGAGACCTGAAGACAATTGAGAGGCATGGAAGCGCATTGGAGCACGTTATTGACAAAATACATCAGCTCAAATTGGAAGTTCAGGAGTTGCGTATTGAAAGTGGGAATGACCCTGTAGAGGTCAGACTTTGGACCGAAACTTTAGAAAGCCAAATCAGTAAATTTGAGGGAATTCTTAAAGAAGTGGAATACGTAGCTGCCGGTATTAGATCAATCGAAGAGGAAAAACGCGAGGAAGAGAAACGGAATTTGGAGGAAAAGATTCAGCTTGAAAAGGCTAAACACGAAGCGCGAGCGAGTCTTGAGAAAACGGCGAAGGCATCCACGGAGGAATCTGGGAATTTGAGCAGTGTCGGAGCGAAATTGCCAAAACTGGAGATAACTAAATTTCAAGGGACTTTCCTGGATTGGATGAGGTTTTGGAATCAATTCGAAACTCAAATCGACAAGGCTAAACTAACTCAAGTTGCTAAGTTTTCTTACCTGAAGGAGTTACTAGTACCCAGTGTCCGCGCGTCCATTGATGGACTCCCTTTCACGACGGAGGGTTACGAAAGGGCCAAAGCTATATTGAAAACCAAGTATGGTAAACCCAGTGAGGTAGCAAACGCACATATGCAATGCATAATTGGGTTATCCACAGTTCATGGTGGACACCCAGCAAAAATCCATGATTTCTACGAGAAGCTAACAAGTCACATACAAGTGCTAGAGACCATGGGCAAGGTTAACGAAATAGGAGGGTTTGTGCGTGCGACGCTTGATAAATTACCTGGAATCAGAGCGGATCTGGTACGTCTAGACGATAACTGGCAAGAGTGGGGATTTGCAGAGCTAATCGAATCCCTGAGAAAGTGGTGTGACCGTAACCCTATTGTCAGCGAAAACCTTAAACCTGAACCGCCAAAGCCTGACCTGCGAAGTTGTTATCCTCCGAACCGTGACCCGCGAAATCGCTTCCAAGCAAGGAAGAATCCTGCTTACCAGACCAAAGATGAGAGTGCGAAGGTGGGGCGTAACTGCATCTATTGTAATGGCGAGGATCACAGCTCCACCCAGTGCAAGAAAGTCCCTGGCTTGCACCAGCGCAGGCAGATCTTGAGTGACAAGAAACTATGCTTCAACTGTACAGGAACAAGACATCAAGCACGGGAGTGCCACAGCAAGTACACTTGTCAACATTGCGGTGGCAGACATCACACGTCTATTTGTGACAGGCTGCCTAGCAACAGTCAAATGATGTTGGCAACTGGTGAGGGTTCTGTTATTTATCCGGTGGTAGTGGTGTTCGTCGATGGGATCAAATGCAGAGCATTACTAGACACAGGTGCGGGTAGTTCTTATGCGTCAGCGGCTCTGATTGAACGGCTTAACAAGCGACCAACTCATATCGAACATAGACAGATTGACATGATGCTTTGCTCAACAGTTCAAAAGGTACAAGGGTATTCAGTAACGGTTAAAAGTGTTGATGGGAAGTTTGAGATGATGACGAAGATCAATAAGGTGGACAAGGGTGTTCTACTCACAGTCCCAAATCCGAATTATGGAGAACTGATCAGCAAGTATCGTCACCTGCAGGGAGTGGTCATGGATGACGATGACAAGAAGAGTGAGTTACCCATTCATGTAATACTCGGCGCCAGCGAGTACTCAAGGATCAAAACTGAGACGAAACCTAGAATTGGTCAGCCGTCTGAGCCCATTGCTGAGTTCACTATGCTGGGGTGGACGATGATGTCCACAGGGAGAGAAGCCGCGCTATCCAACGTTTATTTGACGAAAACATCGGCAGCGGACTACGAACAACTCTGCTCTTTAGATGTTTTAGGACTCGCAGATAGACCAGAAGCAGACCAGCAAAACGTGTTTGCCGAATTCTCTGAGCAACTGAACCGAAGTGACGAAGGTTGGTACGAATCGGGTTTGCTATGGAAGCCGGGTCACGATCACCTGCAATCGAACGAACGCGGAAGTATCAGGAGACTACAAGGTCTAGTGAGGAAGTTGCAGAGAGAGCCTGGTCTGATAGACAAGTACGATGAGATCATCCAAGAGCAACTCACTGAAGGGATAGTTGAGAGAGTTGTAGACGAGCCAAACGAGAGAGTATTTTACATCCCTCACAAACCAGTGAAAAAGGAAACTGCCGTGACCACAAAACTCAGAATTGTATTTGACGCATCGGCTAAGCCAAGTGAAGATAGTCCGTCGTTAAACGAGTGCTTAGAAACGGGGCCTCCCTTGCAGAATCTGTTGTGGAACGTTCTTGTGCGAAATCGCCTAAAGCCAGTAGCCTTAGCAGCTGACATCAAACAAGCCTTCTTACAAGTACGCATAAGACCTGAAGACCGGGATGCACTACGTTTCCACTGGCTCAAGAACAAGGACCCTTCAGTTATTGAAGCCTTGAGATTCACGCGAGCGCTCTTCGGGTTGGTCCAGTCGCCTTTCTTGTTGGCGGGAACACTAAAGTTGCACTTGCAAAGCCTAAGAGAGAAATACCCAGTGGAGGTAGACGAGATCTTGAGGAGTCTATACGTTGATGACGTCATCACGGGGGGCAACACCAAAGAAGAGGTTCAGGACCTGAAGAAGACGATCATATCAGTGTTTGGGGATGCTAAGTTTACCATGCACAAGTGGAACTCCAACGAGCCTCAGCTAGAGAGTGAGAATGTTGTTCCGGTGCACGAGCCTCAGCTAGACGGTGGGAATGGGGTGCCTGTTGATGAACAGCAGAGTTACGCAAAGCAACAGTTGGGAGTTAAGGAAGGTGAATCCAAGATATTAGGTTTGCCGTGGAACAAGAGAGAGGACACAATTGCAGTGACTTTCCCTGAGGAACCTGTTGATAACACTAAGAGAGGAATGCTACGATTCTTAGCTGCGGTGTACGACCCGCTTGGTGTAGCGTCGCCCACAACATTAGTGGGAAAGCTTCTATACCGCGAAGTATGCGACAGTCGACTACCGTGGGATGAGAAACTGTCAGACAGAATTGGACAAGAGTGGCTGAAGTTTGTGAGGAGCCTCCCAACAAGGTTGAAGTACTGCGGAGCATACCAAGGTTCAAGGAGCCGATCGAAGGAGTCCAGTTGCATGTATTCGGTGACACAAGTGGAGTTGGTACATCAGCGGCCGTCTATGCAGTGATTACGCAAGCCTCCGGGGTGAGCAAGGGCTTAATAGCAGCAAAGTCAAGATTAGCAAAGAAGAATCTTACAATTCCAAGATTGGAACTTGTGTCCGCTCACATGGCCGCTAACCTTGTGGAGAACGTGAGAGTCGCACTTGAAGGATATCCAATCAAGTCAGTCCATGGGTGGAGTGACAGTACTGTCGCACTCCACTGGATCAAGGGGGGA